AGAAGTAAACAGGAGTTAAAAGTAAGCAATAAAATCTTAAAACCAATTCGATATTTAACAGGTAACCAGAGTAAATTAATCTAAATTATATAAAACATGAGTTATGTGATCACATTTCTTAGTTAAAGTAACAAGTCTAGCTGCAGTATTCTGTACTGTTTGTAATTTATCTATAAGCTTTAAACATGCATTATGCAAGAGATAAATCTGCCTATTGCAGGTCTTTCTTTAGGCCTGAAATGTTTTCTAAAATATTAATTAGACATTAATTAACTGATCCAGGCTTTAATCAACTCTCGATGGCATCAGATTTCTCCGATATTAAATAGATTAGAATGGTTCAGCGATACTTTGATTTAATCAAATATGGAGGATCGAGACTTAGCTTCGATCAACCAGTACGGTGGTTGAAATTATTGCACACGTCTGTTAAACCTTCAAAGGCTAATATCTTCGCTTGAAATAGAGAAATTTGAATGAAATTTTCAAATTATTCATTTTACATCATCTACTTTCGAACTATTATAGCAAGAATGGCTAGTTATTTATCTAAATCTTACATAATGTATCTTTAAAGGTAAATCAACTAAAAGTGAATTGAAGTTATCTAATCGAGAAGTGACCAGAGAATTAACAAGTGACTTTAGTGGCCTCTACAGTAACAAATTTACGTATTTTACCAATATTTCTGATATTTACAAATATTATTTACTTGAACTCCCATAAGCATAAAACTATCAAAAATTGCGCTAATATTACGAGCAGAATAAGATGAAAATATATTCTTCGAAAAAAGTAGGGGATATTGAAATGCAAATGCCGATGCAGGTTGTGATATGATAAATAGTCATGGACACTTGACATGCTTTGAGAGTATGTTCACAGATGAAGAATCTTATCGCCCCAACAAAACCACTGAGCTGCATGTGCGACACGCAATAGTGCCATACACGTGGGAGGGGTTCATTGTCAAATTTGACACTTCAAGGGAGGGTTAATGAAAACTGCCGCTTGCTGGTTTATCCTATCCATATTTGCTTTCATATCGGTTCTTACATAAGATTTACTGTTTAGCGTATCTTTGCTTTAGGGTGTTACGTTTAATTTGATTGTGAGACGTCAACGTCGACGTCAACGTCAACCGACAACACTGCAAGAATTGGCCGTGGCACTGCAAGAGGAGTGGGTCAGATTGCCCCGAATCGTGATTGAACGGTTGATTAGGAGCATGCCACGACGAATTGCTGAATGTCTGAGGATTGGTGGAGCAATTACTCATTATTAAGACGAAAAATCAAAAACGTCCGTTTTCACTTTTGACAGTGTATCTCTTTGCGAGTGAAATGGGACCGTCAGATAAGCCGCCTATATCAACTGTTTATGTTCATGTGTAGGTCTGTTATTAACATACACTGGTTACCTCTAAATAAAATACACTGTTTTCTACCCACAAGATAGCGTCCTAAAAAGATTTAATGCAGAGCCACAAATACCGAATTTAAATTGAAGTCTACGTAGAAGAATGGAAGGGCCCGCCGTGTCGAAAGCAGCAGATAAATCTAATAAAATTAAAAATGTACATTTTCTATTATCAATTTCCATTAAAATATCATTTGAAACCCGGGTTAAAGCTGATTCGATACTGTGAAATTGCTTATAAGCACTTTGAAATGGTTCATACAAACAGTTATCATCTAGATGGGCTTTTTTTGAGAAGCAATACATTTCTCCAACATTTTAGAAATAAAACTTAAGTTAGAGACAGGTCTGTAATATTTAAACACAATAGGATCCAGTGTAGACTTTTTAATTAAAGGGGTAACATAAGCTTGTTTAAAAACGTTGGGAATAATAGAGGATGATATACAAGAATTAATAATATTGGTAAAAACTGGAATAACTTCGTCTAGACAGTCCTTAAGAACAGGAGTCGGAACAGGATCTAATGAACAAGATTTAGGAGCAGGCGATTTAATTAGCTTTAAAACAAAAGATTCACTAACCAAGTTAAAATTTTCTGACTGAACAAAATTTTCTAACTTATCAAAATCATGAGCGTTAAAGTCAATAGTTTTATTTAAATCATCAAGTTCAGTTAAAAAGGGGATAGTGCGTTTCGGTTACTGATTTCTGGCCAAGTATGGGGCTTTCAGGAATAATCAAAGGGGCCACATGAAAGGTATTAACATTCTTTCAATCCATGCCAAGTATTGTGTGGCTCAAGAAAATACAATAGCAACGGACGTGTGATAAAACAAAATTGACAAAAAAAAGGAGACGAAATTGGGGCAAGTGCTTTAAGGGGACGGATTTCGGGCTATGCAGAGGACTTTCAGGAACAATCTATGTTGCAACATGAAAGAGTGATCAACACTCTTTCATTCAATGCCAAGTATTGAGTGGCTCAAGAACATGAAACAGCAGTGGATGTTTGGTAAAACAGAATTGGTATAAAAGTGGGGGTAGTGCTTTTCGGTCACTGATTTCAAACGAAGTCGAGGGCTTTCAGGAATAATGGATGATCCCATGTGAAAGTGGAATAAATACTCTTTCAATTCATGTCATGTATTGGGTGGCTCAAGAAAATAAAATAGCAGCGGACGTTTGGTACAACAGAATTGACAAACAATGATGTAGGGAGGTACTGCTTTCCTGGGGCGGATTTCAGATTATGCTAAGGACTTTCAAGAATAATCTATGGTGCCACATGATAAATGGATAACCACTCTTTCTTTCATTCTATGCCAAGTATTGCGTGGCTCAAGAAAATGAAATAGCACTAAGAAAGAGTGTAGGGAAGAGTGGGGTGGGAGCTTTTCGAACGTATTTCAGACTATATCGAGGATTTTAAAGAATAATCTATGTTGCAACATGAAAGAGGGATAAACAGTCAAGAATAATCTATGGTGCCACATGATAGTGGTCTAGGGTGTCGCGCTTCGACATCTAGCTGGCCGGTCACCTCTGGCTTGCGGCTGTGGTTTCGATCCCTGGTGTGAGCGTATGTGGCTTTGAGATAGGGGCGCCTTCTCAACCCCGTGGGTTTACCCCGGTTTCCTCCCACAGAAAAGATCCCTGCGCGTGCGCTAAAGTAATAAAAATGAAAAATAAGACCTGTCTGCGATATCACCTTCGGTGGAAGCGGACGTTAAACACTAAAAACAACAACAAAATTCACAATAACGTGTCTACGATATCACGTGGACGTAAAACTCCGGGAACGAAAGAACGATTCTCAATAAAACTCTTGACCCTTATACTTAGATATAAGCGTCCGGTCTTCATTAATGTAATATTATATAATTTGTTGTTAATAAATACGCAATTAGAATAATTTGGACTTTTCTCATTTAGGCAACCCCCTAACCTTGTCCGATGAGAGCTACTTCCCTTTACCAACATTTATTTTGCAATTAACGATCATCAAGGGCGGATAATTTGAAAAAGTGTCTCCCCCATAGATTAACCCAGGGGTTAGTGAAGTAGAACGGACTGAAACCACTGGGGATACCGAGGATGCTCAAGAACATGAAACAGCGGACGTTTAGTAAGATTATTGACACAAAGGAAGAGGGGGCAGCTTTTCGGGGACGGATTTCAGACTAAATCGAGGGCTTTCTGGAATAATCTATGGTGCCGCATGAAAGAGGGATACATTCTCTTTTATTCCATGCTAAGATGGAGTGGCTCATGAAAATAAAACAGGAGAGGACGTTTGGTAAAACAGAATTGAAAAAATAACACGGGTGTGGGTAGTGCTTTTCGGGGTCGGATTTCAAACCAAGTCGAGGTGTTTAAGGACTAATGTAGAGTGCCACCTGAAAGAGGGATAAACACTCGTTCATTCAATGTCAATTATTATCTGGCTCAAGGAAATGGCAGAGGGCGTTTGGTAAATAACAATGGACAAAAAGGCGTGCAGGTGGAGGGGGGGGGGGGGTGGTGCTCTTTCGGGACGGATTTCAGACTATTTCGGGGACTTTTAGGAATAGTCTATAGTGCCATGTAATGTATTGTTTTGCTCAGGAAAAAAAGAAACATTTATGTTTGGTAAATGAAAATCAATAGAAAAGGGAGATCAGTATATATTCCGGTGTTTAGCGGTTTAACCGGTAATTAATTCAACCTGTTTTGCGGTGTATTCCAGTGACTTTCAGAAATTATCTATGGTGCCACAGAAATGGGGGATAAAGATTGTTTCATTTCATGCCAATTATTGTGTGTCTTCGGTGGTTTAAATAGTAGCGCGGACATTTGTTATTCATTCCGTACACTCACTTCAACGGCTAAACATTGTGTTTTGTTAACCGCAGCTTTCGACGATGAAACTCCATCTCTGCATTGGCCGAGAAATTTCATCCAGATTTTTCGGCGTGGTTCCCCCTTGTCTAGTCGTTCGGATGGGACGAAAAACCGAGGTCCCGTGTTGCCGTGGCGTGCACGTAAAAGATCCCTTGACAGTTGGAATTTGATATAAGAGTAGGCCGTAGTGCCGCTGTCCGGGCAAAATATCCCTCATAGTACATACACTATATGGCGTATACCAGTCTTCATTAGCCCAGTTCGGAGCAGAATAGTATAGGACGTTAAACCCCATTTCATTTCCTTATCAGTGATTGTAGAGGCCTGGCGAATATTCACTGCTGATCAGTGTGATACGACCTACGAATACCAGTCAAGTCGTCTACAAGCAAAGTCGTCCACACGCAAAATCTGGTTAAGTCGTCCACACCCGCTAGTGGAGTCGTCCACACGACATAGTTTACTTTCAGGACACGTAAGGTATTCTTAATTAGTATATTTGGGGGGGGGGGGGGTGAGTTCTGCGGGAACATCCTTTCTCCCTGGTTTTCAGAAAATCGCAATTTCATAAACAAATGTAACAAAATCAATAAATTATCATACAACAATTTCATTAATACAACAATCTACAACAATTTCATTAATACAACAAATTAATATAACTAATGCTATAAAAATTTCATTCAAATAAACCCCATGCACAAATATATTCCTACACCGCTACCAAACGACCCACGTCCTTTAAAAGCCCCGATACACTTTTCCCCCTTATTTATAGGTTCATATAATACACATGGAATGAGAAAAGTTGTGTAAATGACTTTTTAACGACTTTGAAAGTGGCATCCATATACAGGTCTTGGTATCTTTCAACAAATCAAGTTGTTTATCTAGCTGTTGCAAAGATGATATGCCTGTATTTCCCCACCCGGTTATCCCGCCTGAAAATAATTCTTGTAACTGAAAATAAATAAATGACAATTATTTACGGTAAATTTCATCGTAAATTTATGGTAAGTTCCATCGTAAATTTATGGTCAATTTCATCGTAAATTTATGTTAATTTCATCGTAAATTATTGTAAATTTCATCATAAATTATTGTGAATTATTGTAAATAAGTAACTTACTCTTCCAACATTGGGGTAGGTCTCGTATATTCGACGGCCACGACATCAATATTCATCTCACTTTCACCCTCTTCTAATCGCCTGTGGTTAAATTTAGCTAATCTTCAAGGGGCGGCGTGTTTAAACTACAGACAAACGGTGGCTAAAATCATAACGCCAAATAACAATCATTACTTTATTACAAAAACATCGTTAATAATAATCAAACAATCAAAAATGCTAAAATCATAACGCCAATTAACAAACAATACAATTAATATACTTCATTACAAAATTTGAATTTACAAAAACATTGTTAATACTAATCAAACAATCAAAAATGCTAAAATCATAATGCCAATTAACAAACAATATTAGTAATAAGTATACTTCATTACTTCATTTGAAGTTCATTGCAAAAACATCGGTGAACAACAAAAAAACAAAACAAAAATAAAATCATAATGCCGATCTAACATCAAAACAATGATCATACAATAATCAAACAATACGATTAACTTTATTACAAAAACATCGGTGATTCGATCTGAAATCAAATAACATCAGTGATTCGATCTAAAATCAAATAACAAAACAGCCAACGAGTAGGCCTAGGTTTGTACTAGATATTTCTTGCATGCGATTAACTTGTGTACGAGTCTTATTCTTAGTTGTGGACGACTCCAAACAAAGAACTCCGAATGCACGGGCCACTTACATCAAGGTAAAAAAAATGCGTCACTCGACAAACCTCAGCAGATTCCAGCTCAATCTGTTTCACAGAGAATTACTAGTCTCGTATAATACCTCTGTCATAGATGACTGCCTTAACACGTGCTGTCACAGCACGCGGTGTGAATCATTGGCTGAATGACGCGTGCATTGTTTACATAAGACATAACTGCTTCGGAGAGAATGCTGCATTTTAGTCATTTTAATACCCATTTACACTAAATAGGAAATAATTTTTACCTACAAATACGTCAAACGCCTTTATTTATTTTTCCAATATATACAAAAAATGTTTTAGAATTTAATTTGTCGCAGGAAAAAAGTTAATATTTCTAGCTCATTAAGCCGCATCAATGTCATCCTTATCAGTGATTGTCGCGGCCAAGCAAATATTCACTGCGGATCAGTGTGATTCCAGCTAATACCACAGAGTAAAAAATATTTTTACTCTGTGCTAATACTCCTTGGATTCCAGAACCCTACACGGAATCTGCCGAGGTTTGCCGAGTCGTCTCCGATCAAGCGTTCTCCAGAAATGATTTCATATTTCCCCGGAAATTATTGACGTAAGTGACCTTCACCGAGCTCTTCTATAAAAAAAATCGACGAAGGTTAGTCTACTCAATTAGGTCTTCTCCGTAGCCATTGCTCCTGTGGCAAAATGTCTAAATATCCGAAAAATTCGAACCCTTTTGAGGACGATCATTATAATTTTGGAAATAAGGCGTCGACCAATCAAGAAAATGGTTTCACAGAATCTGACCTGCGAAGACAAAAATGGGAAGAAGCGTATGCTTCAGAAGATCGTCAACTTGAAAGTACGAGAAGAGCGATGGCCAGTATTTACGACTCAGAGAGTATTGGAATAGCAGCGGCCGAGGTGAATGAATTAATTAATTTGATATGTTGTACACGGATCCTTACATCTTCATTCAGTAAATGTGATTACCTCGACAACCAAATAACACTGAACAAATTTTCTTCAGTTTAAAACTGCTCGTGTGGCACACACCCAAATGACTTGAAATCAGATGTGTATGTCAATGTCACATGTGTCACATGAACATGAGTAGGACCTGGGATGATTGTAATGAAATAGGTCGATGTCTGACTCTTTCCATCTTTAACAGAAATAAACTGGTGAATATAATGTACATGTAATAATGTTAATGATCAATGTTTGACCAATTTGCATGGATTTAACTCTATGTATGGATGGTGGATCTACCATACCTTATTTGATAATCATAATGGGCATTTTTCAGCGTTCTGTGACCTTCCATTTCCAAGTTATTTCCCCTTTATAACATGAAACAGGCTACAGATTTTAATTTATTTTTCTTCAAATTTGGTATGAAGTATTGTGATCATGACAAGGTGAAGCTTTTTCTTTTCTTATTTGGTTTGAAGCATGCCATGGTATGAGCTTTCATTCAGCAGTCCTCGACCATCCTTTTCTGAAAGCATTGTAATTCTTATAGTGTGTTACAGGTTTTAATGGATTTATTTTTCAAATTTGGTGTGAAGCATTCAAATCTGAATGATGTGAATCCTGTTGAAAAACTTGTTTAAGATAATATTAGATTTAGAGATCAAATTTCTTCAAGGCATCCTTTCTTTGGTGAACATCCAAGTTTTCCTTTTCGATGAGGTACTGTCGCTGATGGCTATCATTATCATTTTTGCACATAACTGCTGTATCTGTGTATTTTCACTCTTTGCATGGCTATCTTTTTCAAATTTGATTTGAAGCATTGCGGTCGTGAGAGGATCAACTCTATCGAGTTTCAATGATCCATGACCTTTGGTTCCAGGACTACCCCCCCGTAGCCCTCATGAAAACCTTGAACATGTATATGATGTGTATTGAGGCTACAGGGTTGGTGTAAGAGTCAGATTATTAATCAATCTGATTAAAATACAGATCTATATATCGTTTCGTTTTATAATTTCGATGGCCTACACTACATGAAGATCTGACAAGTTATAGCGATAGGTAACGTCAGGGGTCAAAAGACCGACTAACATGTATGCCCCTATAATGTCAGACATTTGATTAACCAATCAGCATTGATGTTACTAGTGGATTACCCACAGTTCCGTGAAAAACACGTCTAAAGCTTGCCGTAACAGACCGTTTCATTGGCTTATCCCTGACACCATTCAGAACACGAGTTAAATAACAATTCTTCCAGATCCAAGTGTAGTAAAGACAAGTAAAACAAAATTTTGAACTATGAAAACGAAACGAAATAGGATCTGTGTTTTAACCAGATTGACTTATTAATAAGCTTAAGCTTACGAGTTGGATGTAAAAATTTAAACATAAAAGCTTTCCTTTTTTTTTCCATGTAATTGACAACTAAGGTTGCTGTACACAATTTATTTATTTCTTTGTTTTTTTAGGAATTGGTGCGTCAAGGAGAAATTTTAGACAGTGTTGAAACAAAGACTGGGAATATTAATCAAAATCTAAAATCATCTCAAGGTCATTTAAACTCTATTAAAAGTGTGTTTGGTGGTATAAAAACATGGTGGCAGGGCGGTAATACTACAACACCAAGAGAACCTGTTAGTTCACCGAGAAAACTACAAAATACCATTGATAAGGAAAAGCAAGCTGTGGCCGCTTCGCCTAAATTAAAAAGTGGTGACGTTAGTGGCTTTTATGATGATAGTGATGAAAATTTAGACTCACGATTTCTGGCTGGTTCTAGTGGTAAACACCCAGGACAACAAAAAATGTTTCAACCAGTGACTAACAGTGCAAGAGAAAAAGATATAGATGAAAATCTTGGTAAGTTCATGTATTAGAAAGCCCTGTATTCAAATAATCCATGAAGTAGCAGTATCAAAAAGCTTTTAGGATTTTGAAATGCCTTTGTGTGCATTTATGAGTATAGTTAATTTAACAACAGGATTGACAAGTATGTATTTAGCGAACATTGTAATAAATCCTTGTGTAAAGAATATCCTATTTTCTGCTCTGTAGATTCTTATTTCCTTCTTTTTCAGTTGGAACTGAAACAAGATTTGCCATAATAAACCATTTTTATGTTTGTATGTCTGTCGTTCAGGGATTCTGTATTCAACTTTATATCCATAGAATTTCTTTATATACAATATAATGTTACTGATAATATCCATTTTTTTACACTCCCAAAAATTAAAATTAAGATAACTTTTTATAAGAAAACCATATTAATCTATCTTACATGTAACTTTTTGTATTTTTTAGTTCTGATGTCTGCAGGAATGGCCAGATTAAAAGGGCTGGCTACCGGGCTTGGAGATGAAATTGACACACAAAATGAACAATTAGATCGAATTAATCGTAAAGTTGATGTAGCTAATCATCGCCTTGAGGGTCAGAATAAACAAATGAGGGGTATTCTCAAATGAGCTCAAAGATAATTTACGAACAGTATTAGTGATATAAAGATTGCATGTACTCTTCACTTCTTAGACAAAACTGTACACAGATACAATGTATTTATTCATCAGTGACTCTAGGTTTTTGTAATATATTTGTTGGTGAAAATTAAGACTAAATAAGAACTGTTTACATCATCAATCATCTTTCTATAAAAAGTGATGATCCCCGAAAGATAAGTTGTTTCACAAGGTGGCAAAGCAGTTTCTATTGAAAATCTAGGAAAGATTAAGACACTAACCATTTATTAGGAGAAACAGATGGACAATGAAACTGACAAATATTCTCATCTCAACCATATCATTTGTTTTGTACTATTCACACATTTGAGATGGACAAAATCAGGGATTTCGTTCAATACTTGTATACAGCATAATTGTATATCTTTTGATCAGCGGGACATTTTTATACGCCTACATTTTCATGTGGACGTATTATGCCGTCGCCCCTGTCCGTCCGTCCGTCCATCCGTCCACAATTGTTTGTGGACTCTCTACAGGTCACAATTCTTATTCGATTTCGACGAAACTTGAAATATAGGTTTATCCCCAAAAGATCTCGGCTGCTTTCGATATTGGCATGTATCGGATCGAAACTTCATGGATTATGGCCCCTGTTTGTACGAAAAATCACGTTTTTAGCTTGTGGACCCTATAGAGGTCACAATTTTTATCCGATTTTGTTGAAACTTGAAATGTAAGTTTATAACCCAAAGATCTCAGTTCCTTTCGATATTCGTGCATATCAGACCGTAACTTCCTTAATTATGACCCCTGATTGTACGAAAAATCACGTTTTTAGCTTGTGGACCCTATAGAAGTCATAATTTTTACCCGATTTAAAAAACTGTATTATTATATCACCGTTACACCCTGAGGACGACTGAGTTCGAATTTCGTGAAAATCGGCCCAAAATTGACAGACAAAATGGCTGCCGTTCGTTTAGTTCCTTTCGATATATGCGATATGCGCATATCGAATTGTAATTTCCTGAATTATGGCCCTTGATTGTAGGAAAGATCACTTTCTTGTTAGCTTGTTCTCTATCCATCTCTCGAAAATGTGGGCGTATCCTGCCTGGCAGCCGCTGGTTTATTAATGTTGTAAGCAATTTTTTTTTTTACATTTGTTGAGGTTGTCACAGACAGTGTTTATATTTTGTTCATTATTAATATTCCAAAATATATACGAGACATAATGTGATGTAAATCTAAGATAAAGTACTATGCTGTTAAACACAAAATTAAATGTATGCTAGAATGTGTAATAATTTTTCATGATATACTGAGATCCATTGAAAAAGCACAACTGATTTGACTGAAAAGTAAAATTGTTATGATGGCCTTTAGTTGGTTGTTGATTTTCTTGTATTGGTAAATGTCCAGTCTACAATCATGCCAAATTCCACATTTCAGCTGATACATTTTCATTGCTAATCAAAACATTCCTCTCAATTGTGTTATTTAGCTGCTTTAAGTAATTGTGTAATATTTGTTGTTTATTTATTTCTCTTATGTATATTATCATTTGTATATAAAACATTATATATTCATTTATTGGCCAGGTAGACTACAGTTATAAATTTATTAGATCTAGAAGTTATTATAATATCACATTTTCCCAGCCAGATTAAAATTTCGGTCTGCTTTAAATATGCACTACTGAAAATTTTCAATTTCACATAAATGTTTAAAATGACTCAGTTTGTTTCTCTCGATAATGTATTACACATACTTAAGCAATAATTTTTCTTGTATTATTTTTCACCAGGCTATTGACTGTACTAATAAAATCATATCAAGTAAAGATGATGAGTTTTATTGTATACCAAAGTTGAATTTGGTTGTGTATTGTCATTGTCAATCTTTTGCAAACCATTTTTATACGCCCACATTTTTATATACTATTCAAAAAAAGTAGGGGATATTTGATTTTTAAGTGTTATTAAAGTCACCTAATGAAACTGACGAAGAAACAAATGACAAAATGAAATGAAGTTCACATTCACTGATTTATTCCAAATGATCGTTAGACTAAGTAAGGCACAGACTGACCATTATAAGGGTAAAATGATACCCGGGGTCAAACAGCAAAGTTACCACAGCATCACAACCAAGTCAGTAACGGGTAAATCCTCCTCTGTTTGCCAAACAAGCATTGATCCAACGTGGCATACTCCTAATGAGACATCTAAGGTCATTTTGGTCCAGATTGTCCCATTCCTGTTGCAACGCAGCAGCAAGTTCTTGGACATTGGCAGGACGTTGTTGACGTTGACGTAACCTCTGTCCAAGCATGTCCCAGACATGCTCGATGGGGGAGAGGTCGGGACTCAGTGCTGGCCAAGGTAATGTGGTGATGTTCTGTTGTTGGAGGTAACCTGTAACGATCCTGGCCCTGTGACATCTTGCGTTGTCATCCTGGAAGATGAAACGGCGGCCATGACGTCGTGCGAACGGCACAAGATGTTGTCCCGGTAGTACTGGCCCGTAACACGCCCTGCAACAACATGTAAAGCCATTCTTCCAGCAACAGTGATGCCTCCCCACACCATAACAGAACCACCCCCAAATCGATCATGTCTGATGACGTTAACGTCTTGGAAGCGCTCCTACGTCTGTCCAAAAAATCAACAGTGAACCTTGACTCATCTGAAAACATCACATTGCTCCAGCGTCGATTATCCCAGTGTTGACGATCCCTGCACCAACGACGTCTTGCCTGAATGTGATGATCTCTCAAACAAGGGATCACGCGAGGACATCGGGCGCGAAGGTGACCCCTATGCAGTCGATTCCGAAACGTCTGGCCACTCACTCTCACAACAGTGTCTGTTTGAAGACGAGCGCTGATCTGATTTGCTGTGATGACACGATTTCTTAAGGCCAAGGTACGGATAAATCGATCCTGGGCTTGAGTTGTCGCCCTTGGTCGCCCTGAGCGTGGTCTGTCCTGTACAGATTGTGTATCACGGTATCTGGACCATAGCCTGCTTATGACAGACTGAGAAACATTCATCGTCCGCGCCACAATCGCCTGTGTTGTGCCGATCTGTAGCATGCCAAGGGCACGTAACCTTTCATTTTGGGTAAGCCGACGCATATCAAAATTTGTTTTCTGGTCACTAAAACAATTAAACTGATGTTTCCACCCTGGAATTCAATGCCACAATGACTGTAACATTCAAAGTCAGAGTTGTGCAAATCTTGGGTTGGACCCCCATGATGATCCCAAGCATCACCTGCATTCCATGTGGTAGCTATTGGTGCGTTTGGGCGTCACATGTAACTGGAAATGTTTCTTCTGTTAGGTTCTATAGTGACTTTTCGTAGTCATTTGCATATTTTAGTATTATGCCCCCAAAATCAAATATCCCCTACTTTTTTTGAATAGTATATTATGAATGTGGACGTATATTGCCGTCGCCCCTGTGTGTGTGTGGGTGTGTGTCTGTGTGTCGCCTACAGGCCACAATTCTTAAGTGATCATCTTCAAACTTTACATACTTATTCCTTATACCCTAAGGATGGTCCCTATTGTTTTTGATGCATGCTCGACCCCCAGGGGCAGAGCCATGCCCATTTTTTGTATTTCTTTGTTTGTCATCTACAGGCCGCATTTCTTAACGTATCATATTGAAACTTTGCATACTTATTCTTTGTACCCTAAGGAACATCCCTGTCGTTTGGGATGCATGCCCAACCCCAAGGGGCAGAGCCACGCCCATTTTCTTTTTGTGTGTCTGTGTGTCGCCTATAAGCCACAATTCTTAAGTTTTTCATCTTGAATCTGGACATACTTATTCCTTATACTCTAAGGATGATCCCTATTGTTTTTCGTGCATGCTCGATCCCCAGGGGAAGAGCCACGCCCATTTCTTGTATTTGTTTGTTTGTCGTCTACAGGCCGCATTTCTTAATGCATCATCTCGATACTTTGCATACTTATTCTTTGTACCCCAAGGAACATCCCTTTCGTTTGGGGTGCATGCCCACCCCCCAGGGACAGAGCCACGCCCATTTTCTTTTTGTGTGTCAGTGCGTTTCCTACAGACCACAATTCTTAATTGATCGTCTTGAAAAAATTTCATATGAATTCCTTATACCCTAAGGATGATCCCTATTGTTTTTGGTGCATGCCCGACCCCCAGTGGCAGAGCCACGCCCATTTCTTGTATTCATTGTTTGTCATCTACAGACTGCATTTCTTAGCGTATCACCTTGAAACTTTGCATACTTACTCCTTCTATCCCAAGGAACATCCCTATTGTTTGTGGCGAATGCCCAGCCCCCAGGGACAGAGCCACGCCCATTTTCTTTTTGTGTGTCTGTATGTCACTTACAGCCTGAAATGCTTAATCGATCATCTTGAAAACTTTTTTATACTTATTCCATATACCCTAAGGCTGACCTCTATTATTTTGGTGCATGTCCGACCCCCTGGGACAGAGCCACGCCCAAAATTTGTGTGCCTTTTGTGTCGCCTACAGGCCGCAATTCTTAACATTTCCTTTTGAAACTTTGCATACCTATTCCTTTTCCCTAAGGATGCCCTCGGTTGTTTTTTGGTGATTGCCCTACCCCCAGGGGCAGAGCCACATCCATTTTTTCTTTGTGTCTCTGTGAGTTGCCTACAGGCCATGATTCTTAATGGATTGTCTTTGAACTTGGGATATGTATTCCTTATAGCCTAAGGACGACAACTGCAAGTCACGACCACAGGGGCAGAGCCACGCCCAATTTTTATGTTTATCGTTTACAGGCCGGAATTCTGAATGGATCAACTTGGTACTTGGCATATGTATTCCTTATAGCCTAAGGGCATCGCCTATTGATTTTGGTGAATGCCGTGACCCCCAGGGGCAAAGCCACGCCCAATTTTTGCCTTTAACGCCCAAAGGCCACAATTCTGAATGGATTATCTTGGAACTTGGTATACCTATTCCTTATACCCTAAGGACGGCAACTATTGATGTTGTCATTTCAATAACAGGATGGTACCTATTTATATTGTTTCCATATCCAACCCCCACGGGCAGAGCCACGCCCAGTTTTTGTATTTTATCGTCTACAGGCTGCAATTCTGAATGGATCATCTTGGAACTTTGCATATTTATTCCTTATACCATAAAGACAGCAACTATTTATTTTGATGCTTGCCCCGACCTCCTGGGGCAGTGTCACACCCACTTTATTGTTAGTATTTTGTCTGTGAATTTGGCAAAACAAACCCGACGCCTAGCCTTCTTTGCCTCTGATCATATTACAGCCATTTCATATTTCATTCTCTTAAATTGATTTTAAAAAGTACCATATCAATCAAAGCTAGAATGTGGACGTATATTGCAGCGTTAGCGATGCTCTTGTTTAGTAGATCGAGGCATTTGTCATCTAAGCTTCAACTGTCTACAGGGATACTTGCGAACTAAACTTATTATAAAACCGTTAAAAAGTTTTATGGCCGTCATATTGACTTGATTGGTAAATATACCATGTCTCTCTCGGCTATTATTTTAGATATATTTAATTGACGCGTATACTATCTCCCTGATAATGTCTCTCTACTACATCGTTAACAAAGTTCATCGCGTGCATTTTGCATACCGATAGTCCATTGGCCAATCACGCTATTTTACCGAGATTTCGTCTAATAGTTTGGGTACAGCTATGGCGGGTGTGGCGCCAGGCAGGGTAAGCTTACTCTTCCGGACTCCTGTTACCACTGTTTGTCGTGTATTTTGTACACGGTGAACAGTCCATATGCTGATAACACTATTTTGCCGTATTACACTATTTTGCCTATACTGTTTTTTTAGTATTTCGAATTTTGTCTAATGGTTTGGATTGTTCGTACTTGGTTTTATTTTATTTCATGGATTATGGCCCCTGATTGTACGAAAAATCACGTTTTTAGCTTGTGAACACTGTAGAGGTCACAATTTTTATCCGATTTGGTTTAAACTTGAAATGTATCTTTATAACCCACAGATCTCGGTTCCTGTCGATATTCGCGCATATTTGACCATAACTTCCTGAATTATGGATCATGATTGTACGAAAAATCGCGTTTTTAGCTTGTGGACCCTATAGAGACCACAATTTTTGTCTGATTTAAAAAAAACGTTTGAATATATCACCGTTACACCCTAAGTAAGGTTGAATTCGAATTTCGTGAAAATCGGACCGAAAGTGACGGACAAAATGGCCGTCCCTCGTTCGCAAATAGTGTCAAAATATTGTGTATTGTTGACCCTCTAGAGGTCACAATTTTCATCTGATTTTTAATGAAACTTGAAACGCATGTTTAAAACCCAAATATCTTGGTTCCTTTCGATTTTCATACATATCGAATCGTAACTTCCTGATTTATGGCCCCTGATTGTACGAAAAATCGCGTTTTTAGCTTGTGGTCCCTCTGGAGGTCACAATTATTATCCGATTTAAAAAAACGTTCGAATACATCGAACGCAAATAGTGTAAACATCTGGTATATCAAAGTTGTGAACCCTCTTATAGAGGTCACAATTTTGATCCGATTTCGACAAAACTTGAAATACATGTTTATAACCCAAAGATATTGGCTCCTGTCGATATTCGCGCATATCGGATCGTAACTTCCTGAATTATATATATATAATGGCCCTTGATTGAACAAAAAATCACGTTTTTAGCCTGTGGTCCCTGTAGAGGTCACAATTTTTATCCAATTTAAAAAAAACGTGTGAATATATCACCGTTACACACTGAGATCTTGGTTCCTTTTGATAATCGCGGATACCCGAACTTAACTTCCTGGATTATGGCCCCTGATTGTTCGAAAAATCCAATTTTTAGCTTGCGGATTCTCTAGAGGTCACAATTTTTTTCCGATTTTAAAAACCGTTTAAATACATCACCATTCCACCATAATGAAGGTTGAATTCGAATTTCAGGAAAATCGAAATAAAACTGCCCAACAAAATGGCCGCCTATGCAAAATATGTAGAAGTGTGTAATGCGAAGGTGGTGGACCTTCTAGAGGTCACAATTTTTATCCGATTTTGATGAAACTTAAAACATATCTTTATATCCCAAAGATCTCAGTCCTTTTTGATATTTATTTTTGCACATTTCAGGCCATAGCTTTCTGGATTATTGTCCCTGATTGTACAAAAAAATCGCGTTTGTTTTTAGGGTGTTCTCTACATTGTATCTATCTCTTGCAAAATGTGGGCGTATCCTGCCTGGCAGTCGCTGGTTTGTGTCAGTCGAAGTTAGGGAGACAAGATGCTTATTAGATATTAATGATTAGTATAATTACAACTTTTGATAATTAACAAGCCAATAGCGAGACAAGATGCTTATTAGATATTAATGATTAGTATAATTACAACTTTTGATAATTAACAAGCCAATAGCGAGGCTGATGTCCCCCGCCGAAATCCCAAAATAAATTGATGACACATATTATTATTCATTAATCGCACATTTATTTTTTTCAAAAGTATCAAGCCATCAAACAAATTATCACCTATACACTATAAGTTTCACTACTCTCTATCAGATAGAATCAAAGTTATCTTGTCCCAAAGCATCGATCAATGAAATTGCTTAGCTATGCAAAGCTTTAATTATGTTAATCATTGAACTCAGTCATGAATATCCACCTAATGAACATCTACACCAAGTTTAAACATTCTACCTCAATTAAAAGCAAAGTTGTTATGTTCCTAAGTCTTGACCAATCAAATTGCTTATCGCTCCTTAGCCTAAGCAGAAAATTCTCATCATCGAACTTAGTCATGGTAATAATGATGTAATGAATCTATACTCAAGAGTTTCATCACTCTCACTTAATTATAACCAAAGTTATCATGCCCCAAAGCATATCAACCAATCAGATTGCTTATCTCTGCTTACCCTAAGCAGAAAATTCTCAAATTCGAACTCCATCAAGGCATTCATCTTATAAACACCTACGCCAAGTGTGAACATTCTAGCTCAATTAGAAGGAGAGTTATTGTGTTCCAAAGTTTCGACCAATCAAATTGCTTATCACTCGATCTACTTACCCTATGCAGAAAAAGCTCATTATCGAAATTAGTCAAGGTATTGATGTAATAAAACTCTATTCCAAGTTTCATCCCTCTCACTTTAATTGGAACTAAAGTTTAATCGTGTCCAAACGCGTCAATCATTCAAATTGCTTATCTCTGCTTACCCTAAGCAGAAAATACTCACCTCCGATGTCGATGCATCAATGCATTGACCTAATAAACATCTACACCAAGTTTGAACATTCTAGCTCAATTAGAAGGAGAGTTATTGTGTCTCAAAAAGTGTGACGGACGGACAGACGGACGAACCCTTTTAATAGTCCCCTGCTTTCTTAGAAAGGCGGGGGACAATTAGGAAACAAGCCATCTCCTTTGTAAAATGAAAGTCTGCCATTGTTCCAAATTTTAAGCAGGTTAAGATGTAACTAATTGTGTGTTCCACAGTTAAAATTAGGAAATATACAAATCATCTCCTGTTTGGCTAGACAGATGGGTTATTGTGTGCGCTTTAGATCATAAGGCCTGTCATTGATTCAACTGGCTGGTTGTGATGTCAAACTTGTACATGATAGGAGTAAGGTTACTAGTTAAAACTCCGTTTTCTTCCTTTGCTCAAGCAAATGATCGAAATGTAATTGCAAATGACTTAGTTTGTGTTGAGTGGATGTTGGATCCCATTTACCTCTCTTGTTTTGATGGATCTATTGCTGGTAGGCTTCGGTCTTCTATGTATCAAAATGCACCCTAAAGAACTTCAAACATCGGTGTGACATTAATGTTTCTGTCATTAGTCATTAGTACACAGTATCGAAGTGTATTTACTGGACATTTATCTTGCCATACAACTGAAAATTTACTTTTAATACAAAAGAAATGGACAGTAAATCTTTGTGTACTCTACTCATATAGTCTTCATTTCACAGAAAGATAAGAAAGTGAACAGTTTAACATAATAACAATTTATTTTAAAATGATATACAGGTATGTAAACATATGCTCTATACAAATACAAACAATACATTATACAAATATTTCATTTACAAAACTCTGAAATTAACTATATCTGTACTTTGAACAATTATTAGGTTTCAATCGGAATTAACTTACAGCATTTTAAAAATACATCTTATTTGTGGAAAAAAATATGATAGCAATATAAATCAAATAAAATCTACTTTCTTTCTGAAACCAGTAATGTTGTGAAATGTTTAATGGGAATGGGGCAGGATATAATTTATAAGATAATGGAATGGCTCATATCACCACCAACACATCAAACAGCATGAGACATAGTTTCTATAATATTTACATAAAAATACAAGAATACATATCCACTGAAAACGTTGAAAACGAAAAAGTTTAACAGTACAAATATTATTTCCATTAAGAGCCGTCTTGGTCTAAAAAAAAAAAAAAAAAATGAACAGTTTAGGGTCTTCAAGTGACCTAAAGGTCATTGTTTTAAAGAGGTGATAGTCGAAAATCTATCAAATGACCCAACCTACTTAAAGGGGAAGACCAACGATTTTCAAGAAGGTTTCCATAAATCTTAAATATATATTCATATATAATCCTCTCTATAAAACAAGCAAAAATGTTCCTATTTTTCTTCCATTTCCTCTTCGAATCTGTATGGCATTACTGTAGTCCCATAGAAGAGATATCTTATGTTTTGATATGTTGGTGTCTGACCTTGACATACTTTAGAAATTTATATATTTATGTGAATATATATGTGCCACAAATCCGTTGAAATTAATACTAATACTGTCAGTAGACCCAGCACGCACAAAAACATTCAAGCAGACAAAACATCTCTCACGTACCGGGTGTCAAACAAACCACGTGATGTAAACAATTAGCCGAGTGGCGTGAATTGGTCCACAATGTACTGTTCAGTATGAGTGAATGTACGCATCAGACTTTTGAATTAAACGTTAAAAAAACATAATTCCATATTATAATATCCAAATAAACAGTCCCTTTGATCAGATTCTCATCCAAACGATGACGCGTGAACAAATACCTGACGCGTGAACAAATACCGCAGCAAACTTATGCCAAATCTGTATGCTTAGGGCCTACTATAGAGACTGGTTTTAAAAAAATTAATTTCTCGCTTACAAAAACTTTTTTTTTTTTGCTTGTGTTACAGAGATTATGTTTCAATATATATTTAAGATTTTTGGAAACCTTGTTAAAAATCGTGGGTCTTCCCCATTAACTAAGATTCTTTCATCATAACAAACTACCTTTAGTTGACATTTCATAGAGCAATATTGAATTAAGGTCATGTTAAAGGGTGAGAGGAATCGATAATAGGCCCTACTGTCAATGCTAATAACCTTCAATAATCTATCAACAAATAATAATTATTCTATATTTTCAAAAGAAAAAAAGTATCAAATACTGATGTGACAAATTAAAACTATACTTTCACTTAAAAATTATTAAATGCAAAATTTAATAAGCATCATATTATATATTATCCAATGTTGAGATGTAGAATTTTTTTTTATGAAATATTGGTGTGAATCCAAACACAATATGCAATAATTAAAAATACATATTTAAAGCACTAGCACTAATTATTTACAAATAAAATTAAAATATAAGATTTTTTTCTATTTACAATAATTTAGATTTGACATAAACTGATATATATATTTGTGAATAAAAATTTCACAATATACTTTATATTGCAATCACATCTGTACATTCATATTTACAAAATAAATAAGTAACAAGTGTTACAGTCATAATCATTATTACATGATGCCACACCTTGTATACTGACTCTTGTTATCATCTCATTTTCTACATAATTGTCTTAAAAAGTTGGGCTTTCACGCTCATACCTATTAAATTAGGTTTGAAGTTTGAGGAAAAGACTCATGTCCACAGTAAAATCTGGAATGTTCACAACATAATAGCTTCAGTCTTTTACATCTAGCAGTAATTACACGGAAAATAAGGTTATTTAGCATTGTGCTGATCGCCACAGATTTTTCCCACTGGCTGCTAATTTTAAATAAAAGCCCACAATTTGGGACTGATGCATCACTTCCTCAGCACCTTTGTTCATCATCTCTATAGGATTCATAGAGTTCTCTTTCACTGCTGGGGCCATCAATGTTGGTCCAAATATGGTGGAAAGATTATAAAGACTCATTTTGTTAGTATGTTCAAGTTTGGCAACACTGTAATTAAAGAAAAGAAATATATAACTATTATGAAAGATGCGGTTGAGGGAAATGAATTAGAAGTAAATATTGTCTCTACATTACATGTGTGAAGTACCATTTGTCATGGTTTTTATTATAAAACAGGGAGGGATGAGAAAGCTTTTCGTGAAGGATACAGTAATGCAACTTAATTCATGTTTACTCATCTCCCAGAAATTGTTACATTTTGTCGTATTGATCCTCTACTGGATGATCAATATTGTAATATAAGTCATGTGAGACGGGAGTTATCTGCCCCTGTCGACTCTTCACTGTAATATATAGATTGAAGTTAATAAAAACAGACACGCATACTCCGGAGTGTGCTTGAAGTACGAACATGTCTTGTGTTAATATATAGGGGGGTTTGAGATATGAATATGACCGTCCATCCACGTGCTGATATATAGAAGGCATCTAGAAGGTAGTGATCCCAACACAACAATTTGTAAAGTACTTAGGTCTAAAATCTGTTTCTTTCATCACCACTTTCAAGTTCCCAGATTTCAATTTAAGGTAAAGATTTTTCATATATTTTGATTGTATTTGAAGTTGTCTCTTGAGGGTGTTTGATGCAATTAATAAATATTTTCCTCTCAGACTTAAAATTGACCGATTTTCCCCCCTAATACTACTGGGTGAACTATTCTTTGCAAACTCTACCAGATGTTAATCCCAGGGTATAATTCCCTATTAATATTGATTGAAGTTTTGGAGAGTGCTCAAACATTATTACATATTCATCCAATTTATTTGTGTTTGGTACTTAAACTTACCCGACAAGATGGTCAATAAGATGTACTATAGTATAATAATTAGCATCAGGTAAATTATGTAGCAGACTTAACATACATTTCTCTTTAGCTTCTTCATCAGATAATCCTGTAGAATAAAAAGTGGACAAACTTTCATTTATAAATGCGATTGGTCCATATGTAAAATGACACACAAATTGAAGATCTCTTTGCCAAAACACAATAAGCACCATTCAGAAATTCTGTTTTTCAAAATTACGTTTTTTGAAAGCCTATCCACAAGCAGGTTTATAATCAATTTCCTTATTTGAATTTAACATAAATATGTATTGAAAAATGTTCATCAGATAGTAATTAAGAAGGTGAAAATGTTCATCGATAGCAAAGAGCAATACTTCAGTTGTGTCTAAGACGATAAAGATGGCAGCATGAAATCAACAGACAGTAACCTGAAATTTTGATCAATACTTTATTTGGGAAGACAACAATTGATTGTTTATAGCCTGTATTTGCTTTACAGTCTTGAATAATGTGCCTTTAATTGTACATGTATTTACTGAAAATCTAAATAAATATTTATATAGCAATTTGGAAAATATATCATCAATTACAAAGTGATAAAATCATAACCATTTATTGTTGACTTGTGATTTTAACTCTCTATATTACTTAATTCATTTAATTTAAAGCGATAATTTCATATTTTCTAAGAAAGTCAAAACATAATTATTTCTATGTCTTTTGCTCAATAGGTTATCAACTCACTCTTATACAACCATGGCCATTATTTCCCACCCTTAAAAATCATTGACAGAGGAAATAATAACAGAATTACCTCCCTTGTTTTCCTATTGCCTCTATGCATTAGCTACCTTCAAACGTTGGAATTTGAAGTTGAAAATGATATTTTTGCCAATTTCTCAGCTGGCAATAGTGACTTATAGGATTATTCTTTAACAAGGTAGGATGGTTTATGGATACCATCTATTTTAAGGCTTTATTTTAATAAATTTTAAAATTATAACTTAAAAATATGAAATTGCAGCTTTAAAATAAATACAACCATTGTAGAATGTTTAAGTATAAATACTGGATCATACGTTTATAGTATATCATATAGTCAACATATTTATCTCAACACCCTATCCTATTGGTTTCTTAAAACTTTATATTAAGAATAACGTACTAATAGTTTCTTTAAATACAGGATATTTACTCTCAGTAAATAATGGTTCTGGTAATTCTCTAAAGTATAATTTAAGTAAACCAGTCACAGCATGAATATCAGCATCTGCTACACTGTTCATCCCTGCTTTAATATCTGTTAACGACAAAAATATATTCATTATAAAAACCACACAAAACGTCCTGTATGGCAAGGGTGTTAGGATGTTCCTTCTCCATCGTTCCAAACCATGTATGTCTTATAATACGTTGTTTGATGGGTTTTGCATCATTTGTGTCAATGACGTATTCCTTGGCAGTAAAATTTGCCAAACAAATTGATATTTTACAAACACATGTCACCCTGAGTGATTGACAACCCTGTGGTCTCCAGCCCATTATAACCTCTTACAGATTTACATATAGATTAATGCACCATAATATTTACTTTTATCAAAGATTTTCTTTAATTTCTGAACCTCTGAAGTTACACCTGAAACACGATATAATCCTATTTCTTCTAAACCTGAAAGTAAAAAAGAAAAGAAAGAATTAATTTACAATTTTTTATCATTCATATATCGACAAACAATGCCATCAAGGGTTTTGAGAAGTTATGTCTTGTATTGCATTCCCAAGATTTCATAAATTCAAACAGGCAAACAAATGAACAATCCCTGCAAATTTAAAAAAAACCTCAGACAACTAACCAAGGGACAAAGGTAACGACAATATCTATTCATATTAAATATGACCGTATAAAATTGAAAGAAACATTATTGAATCTTATTTCTTTTATTACCAATAATAAGTCTAGTATGTGTCATTCTGAAAATGACCCTTGTGGTGTTCCTTCTGTCATTTTCTTTCTCCAAGTACCCATATAAAGAAAAGTATATATATGAGGCACCTATATTCAACATGAAATAGACATACAATAAAATCTTATCTTCTCATCCAATCTTACCTCGTTTTTCTACTTCTGATACACAAGCTTTAACTATAGTAGGAACAGTTTTACTCTCACGTCTAGTACAGGTAGATATTTTTACACCAAACACAGCTAATTTATGTTTAGATGGTGTTCGTCTCATTGTTTTATCAGCTGCTGTATGTTTCACTGATATTACTAGTGATACCTTCAAAAATAAATAATAGCATAAACTATATTGGGCCTATATTTCCTTTCAAATACTAATTCACTATCTCTTTAATGTTCATATTACTGACCAAAAAGGGGACCCAAGGGGTCAACATCAAATGCAATTGTTCTTTCACATTCACTTGACACATATTTTGTGTACTCGCTGGGTTCTAAAAAAGCATACTGGTTTAGTTTATTTTATTTTAGAGTGGAATATAAATATTAATCTTAGCATACCTCATTCATAGAGACAGTTTTCTCCTGGAAATAACTTTTCAACCAATCTTTACCTAACTGTAAATCAAAAGCATAAACATAGACAAAAAGTGAGTTACAAATACTATACAGAACATATATATTATAGGCATCTTATTTGTTTAGAATACAAACTTTATTCTTAAATGTGAATCTTTATTACTATTTCAGTGCACCATAAATACATAATCATATTTTATTTAATTAAAACAGTTACATTAAGCCAATAGGCATACACACCTCGAAAGCACCTCTACCTAGAAGTGTGTCGCCTGATTTTTCTTCTCCTTTTTGATAACACAGAATTCGTAATGTTTGAGATCCATCTAATTCTAATTCAAAATCTTCATTCCATGATGGATCAGCGGTAGAAGATGAAATGTTGGTTTTAGCTTTCATGAAAAAATGACCAAAAGAATCCATTTCTAGACAACAATATGTATCTGTAATAAACAAAAAAACAAACCATTTTACTTAATACAATTGTTCATTTATTGGTGTGAATTAGGTAGTGGAAAACTACTTTTAGACCACAAACTGCATGTAAATCATAAAGTTTCCATGGATTTTTTTTTTATAAGGCTTTTGCAAAAATATTTTTTTTTAGGAAATTCACTGCATAAAATCCAATAAGTTCTCATACCTGCTGGACTATTTAAACCAATTAGTTTATGGATGGTAACATTTAGTGTACCATCTAATACTTCTTCATCTAAAAAAAAAAAATATGCCAAGTTTACAAATTAACCATTAAATTGTATACACTATTATACTTTCATTTGAAATAAATGTGTGTGCCTTCCTGTGATTTTGACAGGAATTGTCTCCCCTTAGACCACATACATCTTTATCACGTTCGATTACTTGCTCAGGGCTTACTTGACCAGGACCCTTGAGTACGTTTCGACATGCGCAGTGAGAACGGGTAACCGAACGGCACGGCGCTTTCTTTAGGTATGGAAGATAAATGCCGCCAAACAATTATGCAAGCAATACAAGCAGACAATAAACCACCAACAAACTTTAATTGATACTGACTTTTTCATTGGCATCTTATTGGAACTATTAAATCCAGAGAAGCGAAATAAAGCCCCAAAGATAGAATATTATGCAAAACATACAGTTCGGCTCTACAACCCTTAGAAGACTTTAAATCACACTTTCGTTTAACCAATGTAATGTTTGATATCTTTGGTAACAAGCTCTCCATGACTTGCCAGAATTGCATTTAGGAGAGTAAGGCTATGGTCGCACACCAGTCACAATTCCAAAACATGCAATGGTGTTCCTGTGGCATATTGCTACCCTAGATCCATTTCGCTCACTATCCGATAAGATTTGGAATATCTAAATCAACAATGCACTGTATATGCCGCAGAGTTTCAAATGAAAACAACTATTCAATGGCCATTACCCCACGACTGTTTTGCTGAATATTGTAAATTTCCTGAATATCCGAATTAAGGGGTCCAAGATGAAGGACAATCGAATATCATACATCAACTGCAAAAATTTCACTCGGTCGTACTCCAAGCTGTACACATGATGCTAGGGTTTGGGGGAATTCTTGTATTTTCCTCCAACCAGATACCAAATTTCAGGTGGGAGAATTCCTACTTTGGGACTCAGTCTGCCCTCTTCAGCCATGGCTTATGACTCCACACAATGATTTGGGGAAATTGACCCGTAATCAAAAAAAGATTTATGAAACGGCTCAGTTCTGCAACTGGGCAACTGAAAGGACGTTGCACCAAGATGTAGAATCACTAAAATAAACAAAATGCCTCTGTGGAATGGAAATATTGTATTTTTAATCGGAGCAAAGTGTATCAACAATAATTCTTCCGCTGCCTAAACTTAATCTGCAAATATAACTTTGATCAAAAAATTGATTTGCTGCCATGTTGAATAATTGGATTATGGGATACTTCCCGAAGTAGCCGGCTCCTTTAAGCCATTTAAATGATGTCATCGGTAACCCGAACTCATTTGTGGAGGCTTGAGTAAGCGCGGCGGCAGTAATCAAACGCACTCCTTATGTTGGATCGGTGGAGAATAAGGAACAATATTGTAAATTGAGAAGTTGAATTACGGCCTAAAATTTAATATTCAAAAGGCAAGCAGAATACCATGTCCTATAAATTTAAACGCTGATCTAGATCCTTTAATTAATTAGCCAGATCATTCTATTTTAAAAGAATATTCAAAGATGATTTAAACCAGTGGCTGCCAGGCAGGATATGCCCACATAAACCAGATGGATAGAGAACAAGCTAAAAACAAAAACGATTTTTTGTACAATCAGGGGCCATAATCCAGAAATTTATGGTATGAAATGCACAAATATCAAAAGGGACTGAGATTTTTGGAATATAAGTTTCATCAAAATCGGATTGTGAACTCTAGAGGGTCCATAACTTTTGTATTACATACTTATACACCAATTTGCATACAAAGAGCGCCCATTTTGTCGGGAAGTTTCATTTCGATTTTCCCGAAATTCGAATTCAACCTTCATTATGGTGGAATGGTGATATATCTAAACGGTTTCTAAAATCGGGAAAAAAAATTGTGACCTCTAGAGAATCCACAAGCTAAAAATGTGATTTTTCGAACAATCAGGGGCCATAATCCAGAATGTTACGTTCGGATATGTGTGATTATCAAAAGGAACCAAGATCTTTATGATAAAAACATATTTTAATGTTTCATCCAAATTGGATAAAAACTGTGACCTCTAGATGATCCACAACCTTGATATACCATACTTTTACACTATTTGTGTACAAGGGGTGGCCATTATGTCCGTCAGTTTTAGTTTGATTTTCATGAAATTCGAACTCAACCTTCATTAGTGTATAACTGTGACATATTCACACGTTTTTTTTTTTAAATCAGATAAAAATCGTGACCTGTATAGGGACCACAAGCTCACAACGTGATTTTTCGTACAATCAAGGACCATAATTCAGGAAGTTATGATTCGATATGCGCGAATATCGAAAGGAACCGAGATCTTTGGGTTATAAACATGCATTTCAAATTTCATCAAAATCGGATAAAAATGTGACCTCTAGAAGGTCCACAACCTTTATATACCAGAAATTGGAACTCAACCACATTAGGGTTTAACGGTGATATAGTAAAAGGTTTTTTAAATCGGATAAAAAATTTGACCTCTAGAGGGACCACAAGCTAAAAGCATGATTTTTTGTACAATTAGGGGCTATAATTCAGGAAGTTATGATCCGATATGCGCGAATATCAAAAGGAACGTGTTTTATCGTACAATCAGGGGCCATAATCCATGAAGTTATCCCAATACATGCCAATATCGAAAGGAACCAAGATCTTTGGGAAATAGACCTATATTTCAAGTTTTGTGAAAACGGATAAAAATTGTGACCTGTAGAGTGTCCACAAAGAAATTGTGGGCGGACGGATGGACAGAGGCGACCACATGAAAATGTGGGCATATAAAAATATGAAGAACACATTTCTATGCAAATAAATATTGAAAAATATTTACCTTTTTGCATTATGACTGTACCAATACGATTTACTTGAGGTAGCTAAAACAAAACAATCAAATACAATTTTTAAAATAATTTATCTAAAATACACATACTGGTATATATAATTAATAACTTATGGTTTTAATATTCATACAGGGAATTTTTTCAAATGTAATACAATTTTTGAAGGAATAGTGTACTTTAAATTGTTGCTTTTCAAACACCAGGACACCCCCCTCCCCCACATGCACCAAAACTTACTTCTTTAACACTGTCAATAAGTTCCTGAGCTTGAACTGGTGTAAAGTTGATATTCTTTGTACCTGTACCTAGAGAATGATTATTTACCACCAATAAATAAACATACATAAGACAAGGTATATAAATACATAATTACATAGTATTTAATAAATCAATTACCACTGTTCATTATAAATATTTCTCTGCAGATATTTATTATACCAAAAATTATGATATTTATTCAAATTTATAGAATGCAATTAATAATTGTACAATCCATCCATTAATACAATATATATAAAGAATTTAAATTGATTTTAAATGGTACCATATAACTTACATTTTTTGCACAGAGACAAAATTGTTTCTCTCCACTCTTCTCTTTCATAATCTGTTGTCATTAACAATGTCCTGGCTTGTCCTTTTTCCATTGTTAATTTGAATGGCAGTTTGGGACAAGAGAGAATCATCTGTCCTTCCTGAAAGCCACAAAACACAAGCAGATGCCATAACAAAAGCTACCTATTACCATGACAACATAGTTTCATTCAAGCTATATTTATTCGTTACTTTACAAACTTAAGCATTTCGGATCACTTTTCAAGCATCTACCAGAAAAGCTTTTATAAAATATATTATGCACACGTGGACATGGCTCATTTAGTCTTCAGCTGCATCACACAGACAACTCACTCCATAACTACAATTAGCTCATTAGTTCATTCTGGTGCACTATAAAAAGCTGAACCCTCTAGGACACTGATCTCTACCATTTGATAGTTTCATATACAACATACAAAAACAGAAATTTATATCATTTGGCAGACGAAAGCCATTATGTTAACTCAGTAACTGCCATGCAGTGATATTGCTTTGCCCACCAACGGCACCCATTCAATAATGACAACATTCATTGAAAGGCGATCACCACAATACACAATAAAGTTATATTCATAATTAAATTCACATAATTCACAATAATCAATAGAAACTTATGATGTACGATGAACGTTTCTTCATTTACATCAAATAAACGGGCTATCAACGAAATATGTAGGATTTACCACACCACTGCTTCCATACCTCAGGTGTTTTCTCTCCAAAACCATTTTTTCTCTACAGTTTCATTTGTGCTAAAATGAATTTTACCTTGTACTATGTCACTGGTATTTGCTGGGTGTACTAAAATCAATGTTAAAGCATCTCCTAGGAATTTGACATCTAGCTTGGGGATCAAAGCGGAATATTGATTTACAGGTTTAGCTATCTAACTAGTACTACTGTGCCTTTTTCTTACCTTATATGAAAATACTTTGCTATCTACTTTTGTTTGTCATATTTTATTCCAAACAAATCAAAATAATTGTATTTTTGAATATTGTCAGCAAAACCATCATTGGCTACCACAAAATAAAATATTCTATTCATTTTAATATATAAAATTCTTACAGATTCTTGTATTTTTTTCTTTAATTTCTCCACATTTCTAGCAGCTGCCATTCCACTTATAGACCAGTGTTTCTGAGAAAAAAGCCCCAATAATTATGCAATAATAATACATTCATACTATCTTGTTCAATTAATTAAATCAAGCTTTAAGAGATGCACTGAACATTTTAACTATGGTATATTAGTCATGGTTGTTTTCTACTAAAGTTTCTAAACCTTTTACTTTAAAAGAATAAAAAAAGTATAAAAAAATTTAAATTTGTAACCAAATTTTTTTTTACAATTTACTTACATTAGAATCTGATTCTTTCTTTAACTCTTCCCGTAGATCAGATTTCATCTTTCCTATCTTTAATTTTAAATCATCAATATTCTCTTTATTAGAAAATTTCTGTTCATCTTAAAAAAAAAAAAAAAAAAAAAAATATTAAGTTTTATGGTACTTTTCAACTAAGGATTTAATACACGTGTCTCTATCAGACCTAGGGGGTTGGATGGCCGAATGTCATTGAGTCAACTGGCGTGGTTTCGATTCCCTGGTTGTACGTGACAAGGAGTAGCGTCGCCTGTCCAACCTTGTGGGTTTTCTTCGGGGCCTCCTGTTTCCTCCCACTGCTAAAAGCCCCTTTGCGGAAGTGAATTATTGAAATAAAATTGAACCATGTGTTAGTTCTGAAATGACCTAGTTTGTGTCGAGTGTATGTTAAACCCCATTTCTCTCTCTATCAGACCTATTTCTATACCAGCTGTCTAAAACTGGTAACTGTTAATCAAAACAGGCATCTTCTACAGGATATAGATTTCATTTTAAATAATATGATAGTAACTTACCTTTATATTCAAATCTTGTATCACAGCTAAGGGAGGCTAGTGGCATAAACCATTTCACATGAAATGATATCTTCCCTCTAAAAACAATATCAAAATCCATTAAATACAATTAAGATTAAAACAAGATATTGTAATATAAAATATATATAACAATAAATTAAAACATTACTAAATTATAAAGACGGGTTGCTAGGCAATGAAACATATGCCCACAGCCTTCCAAGCAGATAATAAGTTTAATGTTTAAAAGAGCATTCATACGACACTAACTAGAGGTTCCACAAGATTTTAAAAAGTGACCACGATAATTCTAAAGTATCATGAACATAAACACTGTGTATAAATTTAAAGGCAATCAAAAGGTAACTTTAGTATCTTGAGCACCCACAAATGTTTTCAAAGTTGTCAATAATTATAAACACTGTCTACAAATTTCAAGTGAATGTGATGCTCTATCTTTAGCCACTAAGAGTATCCACAAGATTTATCTATTGTTGAAAATCAATAGGCTATTTTGTCTCACGAACACCAAACACAGTGTATAAAGTCAGATGATAGACATGGGTGATTACAATACATTTAAATGTAGGCGCTTTAATATTAAATTGTGATGAAAAAATTTAAGAAAGTTTCGTGTAAACTAATTATATCATTTGGAAGACAACAGCCATTATGTTAACTCAGTAATTAAGCTATAACAAAACATTATGTGACATTAAACAAAAAGGGATTATAGTTTTTATCTTATATTAGAAAACATCATAGTTTGGAATATGTTAAATAATTTAGGTACAATTAAATGTTATAATAATCACCTGTGACTTTCTCTCTTGGTACATATTAATAGATCACTAAATAAAAACATACAGCGTAATTTACGTGATGTATTATCTAATTCTACAATAAAACTTGTTTTTACCAGATTTCTTCTTTCTTCATTCTACAATAAAATGGAAATACATAAAATATAACCTTCAACCTATAATGAAATGAAAGTGAGTTATTGTGAAACCAACCCATGGTAAATTTTTAGTTCTTGGAATATAAGCAATAATATTAATTACTAAAAGTATACATAATATGGAGGCTCAGTTTTTCGCATACTTAGAAACTTTTTTTTGTTACTAGTGTTGACATTAGTCTTATCGCTGCAGAACAAGACTACAAAAATCCAGATTATTAGTCTTGTACAACAACAGCATGATCATAATAAGAAATATTGTTGTACAAATTTAAGTGCAAATCAAATTTATCTTTACCTTTTCTGTATGTCCTGATACATTATCTAATGAACCTAGATTATATTGTGATAATGATAAAGCTTTCTCCACTTGTACATAATCAGGATGATCTGTAGGTGTAAACTTCTTTATATCCTATAATATATTACTAATACATTTGAATAACTTGAAAATATGTAATAAAATAAACCACATGGGGGGGGGGGGGCCGAATGGTTAGCATGTGTGCGCTGTATCATAAGGTCTGTCAAAAAAAATCGAGTCGACTGGCATGGTTTTGATTCCCTGGTTGTAATTGAAAAGGAGTATGGTCACTTGTCCAACCTTGTGGGTTGTCTCAGGGTCTTCCGGTTTCCTCCCACTGCTAAAGACCCCTACGCGCAAGTGAATTATTGAAATAAAACTGAACCATGTGTTAGTCCCAAAATGACCTAGCTTGTGTCGAGTGGATGTTAAACCCTCTCTCTCTCTCCACCACATGGGCACACCTCATTATTTTACTAATACAATTAACTTCCAAAACATATCTACAACTGTATTTTTAAAAGATTTGGATCAACAATTTGACATACACAACCATGACAGCAACCGAAACCCAAATTGTTAATATTAAAGTCAATGGCAGCAACAGCTTAAATTCTACAATTGTACTTGTGACATATTCTAGACAATCAATTTTAAAACAAAAAAATAATAAGAGCAACTAAAGACATTAATTTTGAAAAGTAAATAAAGTATTTTTTTTTTACTTACATGTAATACTAAAGAATTTCTTTGAATTCTATTAACAGGTTTAAACAACATATCTGCAATTTAATACAAATAAAATATAATTTGACATATGATTATACGAATTTTTCTTGTTCATATTTGTGAAATTATTTTACATCTAAATATTTTTTTATTTTCATATTTTGAAGTTTACATATTATGAATTTATTTAAGTTTAGCATAATATTAATTTATCTTAAATATTTTAAAGTTTACATATAATGAAAATATTTTAAAGTTTACACATTTTGAAATTATTTAAGTTTACATTTAGCATATGAGTTTCTTTTAAATTTCATAGAAGTTATATCGTATTGAAAATTTGATAATCAATAAAATATCTTAAAAATCATCAAATTGTGAAAAATGACAACAATAAGGAAATATCAGTTTTAGAATAAGTTTGAGAATTTGAATTTTCTATAAAGAAGTCATGTAGGACAGGATTCATAATTGTTTTCCACTACTTTTGTTAAGATTTTTGTCTGCTACAAATTAAAAAATAAAAAGGTATTTCTTTTCTTACCTTCTAAGGTAAATTTCTTCTGTCCATGTATCCCTACTTCCTGAAAAAAAAACCCCACCAAACAATCAGTTTTAATTGAAATAAAAAATCCAAGAGAATTTGTACTTTGAACTAGCTTCTGTCTTTATGAATTCATTAAAACAGAAGAATTCAGTAATCAGTCATTTAAACTATTTTCCATAAGTGTTCCATAAAGTTCATTTTTTAAAAAGATTTTTTGTAAAATTAATAATATCGTCCATACATTTTTAAATCTCTCCATTACTCTCAATAACAGCATCATTTGGGAATCTGTAAATACTTTCACTATGTGAAGTCCACGAACAGCTAAATCCAAGTTGATGTTATAGATACAACAGCTGCCCGTTAAATGACACAAGCTAGCTGTTCACATCTGACCAGGACCGGAGGTAAGATAGAAATAACAGTTTACACAGCTCTAAAAACCTTGTAGAGAAATTGAGGTATATGCAAACAATGGTTACCTTTACTAAATCTTGAAATGTTTGGCTCTCCTGACAACATCTATGTATAGTTGCCACGGCATTCTGATAGTTTGCCATGTATTTATCAAATTCAGGAAACTTCATAATCTGAAATAAACATTGAAAATGTCCTCAGCTTTAAAGACAGGCAGTAAAAACGACTACATCATGTTTTTTCTACATGTTTTGGCCTAAAGACTAATCTTCAACCCGTCTGCTTAAAACCAAACGTGAAAGACAGAACACATTCCAACAAGCCAGCAAATCTCAGGTCAGTAGCATGGCCAAACACATGTTATCACAACTTTTTGACAAAAAACGATGAAAGACATGGCCAAAATATCTGCCAAAGTATAGTTAATCAATAAAATCTTCAAATGAGTTGCCAAAACAACGATGTATGGGTGTGATTCATTGTGTTTTGTATTCCACTTTCTGTGTAAATCAATTTCAGATCACATTTCTGTCATTTTTGACTGCACTTGGGTCTTTTAAGTTCTGGTATTAGTTGAGGATTCTATTCATGCAGTTATGTGTGTCTGAGTTGAAATCATTAGAACTTTCCCAGATGCAACAAAAATTTAAATAACTTGAAGACAGAAAAATGAAAAAGGGAATTTCTCATCTTTATATGTAACATTAGAGTCTCAGTTTCACATTATTTTCTCAAAACTCCTGCCACAAATGTTTAAAATAATTTGATGATATAGGAACAAATGTTTGAATTTATTGATTAGTTGTGTTTATTCAAGATTACAATCTTCCCAGATTTATGCAATAGTCATAGTCTTGTTGTTGGCAGAAAATAAAAGAATATAATGAAAAATAAATTCACATAAAGCTCATTTTAATGTAGATCCAAAGACATTGGAATTATTAACATTTTAAATTAATTCAATCAAGTTTTTAAATTTTGAAGTAAAAAAAAAAATATATATATATAAAAAAAATTATAATTGAATTCAGTTAAATTCTCCAAAGATACTGATTTTTTCATGTTTATCACGAGTCAAAAATTGAATCATTCTATCAGTTTATACTACAGTATGAACTTTTTCAGTGCATGAAAACGTGAGAATTTGAGTGGATTTGGCAAGTATCTTTCTCATTAAATCAGGGTGGAAAAGACAACCATGGGAAATTCAAACATCTCGTCCTAATGACCTCTTTAGTTTCTTTCTTTCACATGATTATTTTGTTATTCCCTGGGTAAGAGGAGTTTAATCTATGTGTTTATATACATGTATTCTTGTATATATTCAGAATTTGGAATAAGTTAATTTTATGTTCTGGATCGACACAATGTTGGCTGTACTTGATGAACTCTTTTCCAAATACGATAAATGTCATGCCATTTATTGAGTGTAAAAACTTTGGTGATATTAAATATCAAAAATGTTAAAACAATACAAATACTATTTTAAATATGTGAGGTACGTGTAGGTTTCAGGATTTTGGTATTAAAATAGTAAAGAATCAGATTTCATTTATCCCATACTGAAAAAGAACTCCTGATTTCTGCATTAAGTTGTTAGAAGTTCAATTAAATGAGACTTAAGGCTTTTGATGAGCCCAGTCTGTGCATGCCGCAACAGTATGTTAATCAATTCCAAATACAGGTGCCAATTAATTCTTACCAAGACTTTAAATATTCCTGCTACTAATTGGGTTTCAACTGGTTCTTGTATTCTTACGGACAACTCCGAGACAAATTCCTGATGTGTTTCATGAAGTTTTTCAATATTAAAGAATATGGCATCAATGTCTTCTTTACTAATAACAGGCTGTGATGTCTTTGCTGCAGCTTCAAGACTTGATTTATACTACAAAAAAATATACTATATTGTAATGGCACAAAATAAATCATTGTAAAAATGAAAATCTTTTCTAAACAACACAATTTTACAATATTTCTTTATATAAATGAAATGAAAATGAAATGAAATGAAATGGGGTTTAACGTCCTACTGTTCTGCTCCTAAACTGGGCTAATGAAGACGGGGGCATACGCCATACAGTGTGCTATGAGGGAAATTTTGCCCGGGCAGCGGCACTACGGCCTACTCTTATATCAAATTCCAACTGCCAAGGGATTTTTTACGTGCACGCCAATGTGTACATGGGACCTCGGTTTTTCGTCCCATCCGAACGACTAGACAGCTGTCCTTGTCAGGCCCTCCGTCCTGCATCACTGACAAGGGGAAACTACGCCGGAAAATCTGGACGAACTTTCTTGGCCAATGCAGGGATCGAACACCAGACCTCCAGGCTAGCGAGCCAGCGTATTACCCACTTAGCCACGTGATCCCCCTCTTTATATAAGTATTTCTTAAATGAATGGAATTGTTTCTAAACAGTAAGCTTTGATAAAGTGAGGGGACAAGAAAATGGTTCACTCAATACAAACAAGGTAATTTTAGGACTAACATAATATCATATATATCTTTATTTCATTGATTCGTGTGTACACAGTGGTCATTATTAGAGAAAAACAGAGGATAGGCAAACGACCCTAACCCTGGTCACCTACAGATCTGGGATCACAACCAAGACACTGGACCCAATGAAACAACTTATGATCTAAAGGACTTGATTTAGATCACTTGGTCACCCAACCCCCATTGATAAAGAAGAGTATTTCTTAAACAGCAGCCAAATATAATCAACATCATAGGTGTAGCAGGCATGGGATTTTCAGGCAAAAAACCCCATAAATTTGGGACTAAAAGTACTATTTCTGTTTTATTTTCATTAATAAATTTTGGCACACACACATACATTTGTTCCAACATAACTGTTTTGTTTGATTTCTATTTAAAATTACTAATTATCACAAACCACTTATAACAAGAAGAGGAGAGGCAATCTACAAAAGGCAGTTACAATGTAAGTGGGATGCCTGGCAAATCTCAAATCAACAATAAATCCAACATACCTTGACAAGAACATCTAGATTGTCCAAATATCCCCTTTCACTCTCTAATATACCTTGTAATATTAACTGTCTCATCTTTAACTGTTCATTATGTGGTGACAAGGGTAAATTATCAGTCTGTAATACATACACATTAAATAATTATTAACATGAGACTCTTAAAGTTTCAATATTCCACCACCAAGTACATGTATAGACTTTCCATCAACAAACAAAAATCACATTATTCCAAATATTAGTAATATTGATCAATCCCGATGTTATGGTCATCTAAAGTCGACATTACTTTCTACTGCTTTCATGTCACATTTTTTACTTGGTCTTTGTCTGAATGATATCTATTTCTATCAAGTAGTAACAAGACTAAGAAGGTATCTAACATGTTTTTTTTGGTTTAATTGTCCAACTTATTTTCTAAAGAACACATTTCAGCCATTATGCCTTTATTGAATCTAAAAAAGGAAAAATACATAGTGGACTATTGTTACATTGTGATCTTAAATTAATTAGAGTTATGAAGATGCTTCAAGAAAACTTTTACCTGTATATAAATTACACTCAATAGTTCCTTATTATATTTGTATTTGACAAGGGTAAGGACTGCCAATAAACTAATGGCATTAAGAAGTGGAGGCATTAAATTTCACCATTCCGGGACAAATTGTAGTAATTCTGTCTCTTCTACCCTTTTGCATGGCAAAATTAATGGTGGTCTACATCCCAGTTTGTTTGGGGTTTTTTTTTTGGGGGGGGGGGGGGGAATTTAGTCAAGAGTTTGCAGACAAAACTGTGCATGGTGCACAAACATTCTGCCAACGTAGATGTAGTTGGCGGCCATGCATCTATTTAATATAAAATGTTTTACGGATGGGAAAAAAATAATCTCAAAGGATCTTCTTCGGGTTTCCATTTTTGGATTCTTTGGACGAATCCCATATGGGCTCTGACTGACGTTTTTATGAAATTCGAATGTTTACTCGTTTAGTTTTATCATCAAAGATTTGTAAAAGTTGTTTTTCATCATTTTTCCGACATTCAAGATGGCGTATCTCCATCACTATTTGAAGTATCAATTTGAAACTTGGTAGGAATAAGAAATACATCGATGCCGCCTTCAAAATGTCATTATTCAAAAATTTTGTGACAGCTTCCAGAAATTACTGAGGCCTTCCGATTTTTCCTGAACATGAATAGTTCTCTCCATTATAAAAATAGACCAAAAATGACATATGGTGGTGTTAGCCCCAGATATTATCTTTCATTTTCAGAGACCTTGTTACTTAACATTTTCAACCGTTTGGCCGCCATATTGGATTTTACAATAAACCTTCAAATCGATATTCAGCCGCTATTTTGATTCCGATTTTCGAAAACTTTTTTTTGTTTTGAACCTATTCCAAATGGCAACAATTATTAGGGAGCTGATTTTTGAACTTCATTTTGTTTACTTTCGGTTTCACTTTGAATTGTGTTCGACTTTTCAATTTCTATCTGGTAACCTAACCTTTTAATGATCCTTGACCTTTCTATACATGATGACCCTCATGTCTACTAACAATTGATATAAAAAAAAGTTGGTCTTGACGTATAACTTCCGGTTTTAGTAAGAGTTCAAAATAACAAGTTTTTCCACTTTAATAAGTATTGGATCTAACTATACTCAATAATTGATGGTGTAACTTGATTGTGACAAGGCGTGACCTGATATATCGAAACATATCAGTACTCCTTCTGAGTTCTACTTTTTTCTTTCTTTTGCAGTTAATTTAAGGAACACAAGCCAACAGTGAGGCTGATGTCCCCCGCCGAAATCCCAAAATAAATATTAACAAGGCATTGACCTAATCAACACATACACCAAGTTTGAACATTCTAGCTCAATTAGGAAGAGAGTTATCGTGCCCCAAAGTATCAACCAATCAAATTGCTTATCTCTGCTTACCCTAAGCGGAAAATGCTCATCTTCGAACTCCATCAAGGCATTGACCTAATAAACACATACACCAAGTTTGAACATTCTAGCTCAATTAAAAGTTATCGTGTCCCAAAGCATCAACCAATCAAATTGCTTATCTCTGCTTACCCTAAGCGGAAAATGCTCATCTTCGAACTCCATCAAGGCATTGACCTAATCAACACATACACCAAGTTTGAACATTCTAGCCCAATTAGGAAGAGAGTTATCGTGTCCCAAAGCATCAACCAATCAAACTGCTTATCTCTGCTTACCCTAAGCGGAAAATGCTCATCTTCGAACTCCATCAAGGCATTGACCTAATAAACACATACACCAAGTTTGAACATTCTAGCTCAATTAGGAAGAGAGTTATTGTGTCCCAAAAAGTGTGACGGACAGACAGACGGACAGACAGACAGACGGACGAACCCATTTTAATAGTCCCCTGCTTTCTTCGAAAGGCGGGGGACAAGGGGACAATAAAATTTAACAGGTGTGGCCAAAAACATTTTCTCAATAGTAAGAGTTACAGGTTATAAGAACTAGGAATAAATTAAAATTTACAAAAGCTTCCCAACATTGTATAAAACATAATACAATATGCAGTACTTCAAATAAATCTAAAATATTTTGAATCCAGTTTGTTTGAGAACTATCTTTTGACAGTAGTGTCTCATTGACCATGAACTTGGACACTAAATGAGGAAGTTCAATATTTATTTTCAGTTTCAGGGTATTATAACTCTGCCAAATTATACATTTAACACTTTTGTATTAATCTTATTCCTTTTATTTTTGTGTGTACATAACCAAAACTTATGTGATTTTCAAACTAGAACAAATTAAAAATCATGTAAACTAAATATTAAACATCCTTGTTTTGGGGTTTTTTGGGCTCATATACTGTTAGATCTAATAGATAAAAAAAAAACCAAACAAACATATAAAACAATTTGAACTTTTATCTAAAATTTCTATCATGTTATTATGTGTTTTCCTTATTCAATAAATGTAAAAAATTTACGGTTGTCAATTGAATGGCCATTTATTTTAATTGCATGTATTACACCACTTGCAACCCATAAAATCATTTCCATAAAAAAATCCCATGAATATAGATGTCATTTATTTCAAATTATTAACAAGCATCAGATACATCTCAACATCTTTGATGCCATTTAGATATTTCTTTCATAAAAACAAGAATGATTAATAGATGAGAGCGATGCAGTTTACGATTCTATGGATATTGGTTAGCGATGACATGAAATAAAATATAAACTGAACAAGAAACTAAAGTAAAGAATATTCCCTAAACAGAAGAATTACTAGTCTATCCATGCCCTATATCTAAAATGAGGAAGATCATAAGAAAATACACCTGTCTAATATTTTATGATCTAACAACTTCCTCTTTATTATCTTTTTATATATTGAAATTCAAGTAGATGTAATTATAAGTTTTATGAGCCCCACCCAATAAAAGATCGCCCCAAGACATGTATACAGCTTACAATTTTCCTTGTCTTACAGTAACAATATCTGTATAATTGTTGCTACAGTATTAAGGGAGCCAAACATTATATGTTAGTATATTCAGTTCCATGACTGCCCTTAAACCCATCCCTTCGATCACTCTCTGGCTTTGCAAAAAATCACAATTTAGTGTTTTTCAGCAGGTTAGCTATTATTAAAACTAGCATTCAAAATAAACCTTGGCAATCGGTAAAAATCTTATAATGCTGAGAATGACCTTCATCGAACTCAGTCAAGATAACATTTTATTTCAATTTGTTCCAAATTGACAAACAAATAGACAGAGAGAGAGATGGTTGGAGATGGATAAACTCATTTTAATATGCCAGGTATTGCCAGGCATCTGAAACCAAATATAAATATTGTTCTCCGGCTTGAACAGCTAAATCCATGATATTAAAAGTTTTGTATACTAAGCGTTAGCATGGGGCAGAACTTTATAAAAAAACCAAACAAATTCTAATGGTTTTCTGATAATTACTTCATGAGTTGTTACTCTTAATCAGATTTTAGTGTATTATAAATGTTTCATTACCGAAAAATGTAAAAATATGCGACCGGACGATTTAGCTGCTGTGGGTGTATGTTTCGTTGCCTGGCAACCTATCTGTGTAAAGTTCTGCACCATGCTAACATATCAACACCTTTGGGATACATGTATAAACATATATTTTAAGTTTCAGCAAAATCGAATCAAAATTGTGACCTCAAGAGGGTCCACAACCTTGATATTCCATACTTTTACACTATTTGCGTACAAGGAGCAACCATTATGTTGGGCAGTTTCGGCCCGTCATTAAGGTGTAATGGTGATATATTCGAACGTTTTTTTAAATCAGATAAAAATTGTGACCTCTAGAGGGACCATACAAGCTAAAAAATGTGATTTTATTATAAAATCAGGGTCCATAATCCAGGAAGTTATGCATGAATATCGACTGGAACAGGTCTTTTGGTTATAAACATACATTTCAAGTTTCATCAAAATCGGATAAAAATTGTGATCTCTACAGTGTTCCAAAGCGAAAAATATGATTTTTTGTACAATTAGGGGCCATAATCCATGAAGTTACGGTCCAATACATGCCCAGATTGAAAGGAACTGAGATCTTTGGGAGATAAATCTATATTTCAAGTTTTGTCAAAATCAGATTAAAATTGTGACCTGTAGTGTGTCCACAAACGATGGACGGACACATAGGGGCTACAACAATATACATCCACATGAAAATGTAGGTGTATAAAAATATCTATAGATGAAAAATTATTTAGATCTATATGGGACTAAAACACAATCTACATGTCACTCTAACCAGACATTCATGTTATTCTATTTTTTTATTGTATTCATATTACGTAATATATGTTTATATATTTATTTTTCTTTAAAGAATTTTCAATAATTCAAATGATAGCCACGCTTCGCCAGAAGGCAAATATTCATCATCATTATTTAAAGGTTCATAATTTTTTTTAAATAATGCAAGTAATTATGTCAACATATCCTTTCCATAAGTATAACACAATCCTGAATGTCAGTGTTACCTGCCACAGGTAAATTTCAATGTTAGCGATTTCCGCCGTTGTCTGTGAGCCGTTGTCTGTGAGTAGTCATAACTTTCCACCATACACAAACCATGACGTGATTTTAGTCCTGCTTTCAGAAATATTGACTAGAATATGAGCAGAAAGACTAAAATGATGTCAAAGATTGTTTATTGATGAAAGTTACGACTTCTCATGGAGAATGGTGGAAATCTATCTGTTGAAATTTACCTATGGCAGGTAACACCATCTTCAATAGAAGGCTTGATCTCGCTTTAACTATGTACATCTTATCAAGGCCTTCACGTAACACCCTGCATAATTCGGCACTAATTTTGATTGGGTACTCACCCAGCTTGGGAGCCTATCAGATTCCTCGATCATTGGAATACCAAGTCTCGCGCTTTCCAGCTAAAATGTCTACCTGTGATAATCGAATTACAAAGTTCAAGGTTCGTTTAATGTCAAGGTTTCCGTGGGGGTTGCTATGTCACACCCTCTGATTGGATGCTACTGTTCACTGTTCAGGAATTGTAAAGTAATCTAGCAGTCGTTGCTTCAGGAACATGAGGTAACACTGACATTTGGGTTCATCTTATACTTATGGAAAGGATATGTTGGCATAATTCCTTGCATTATTATGAAACTTTCTGGTGACCTTTAAATTTAACAAATATGAGGACTCAAAAGTGTTTTAAAGATGATATTTTAGACAAAAAAAATAAGATAATGGTTATAATAGTTAGATACTATCTTGAGCTTGATGTTCATGGATAGAAATAAATTATTTTTCTGGCGTTCAGTGACAATACAGACGATACTGTAGAAGTGAGAGTCTTCTTTGAGAATTGTCCTTGAACCTATTTAATACCAGAATGCAGAAAATATTAGTTTACATGAAAAAAACATGTCCAACTAGCAGATTGACTGTCCTAGAAACGGTATAAGCCAACAAAAGTGAATGATATACATGTTGGTAATTTATATAAAATTGAATCAAAGGAATTCAATATGATTTCTAGATTAATATGCATAATTATTCAACAATTACATGTAGCATGATTAAATACTGAATTAAATGCTGAAAAATGACAACAAATTATTCTGGCTTGAAATGCTGAAAAATAACGACATATTATTTCTGGCTTGAGTAAACTTATTGCCAATATAAGAAAAAGGGATTCAGGATTGTCAAACTATTGCCTAAAGACATACAAATATTTTCAATGTAACAATCTTTCATTTACGTAAACATACACATTCAAATTCAGCCATAGGCAATGGCTAAATAATTCATGTATTGGGATTATTGAAGTCATATTATGATATAATGGTTATACACGTTAGATTAAACCACCTTCTTTCGAACTATAATAAATAAACAGGACCATTTCTTTCCAAATATCAATATCACAAACAAAAACACCTCTTAGAGAACTGAACCGAGGTTAGAAAGTAGTCAAGTCATGGTATACATTTTCAGCTGAATGAAATTTAAAAAAAAAAAAGAGACTTCCCAAGCTGGAACAGTGCATGATTTTATCCGCTGCTAAAAGAAGAAAAAATTACTACCAAATACTAGTTCCCAGTTGGGAACAGAGCCCCATTTTATCTGTCACTGAAAGAATAAAAAAACGCCAAAATGTCAAGCAATAACCCCTACAGCTCAGAATATTGAAGGTTGGAAATGATCGCAACAATTTCTTGATTTGGTTAATAAAATTGTTTATGTTATTTCCAGCCACCTGGAAACAATCAGTATTATCTCTGTTTTGTAAAATGTTAACAAAAGTTTGTGTGTCACACATACACTTTTAATACTGATCAAAGTAATTGTAATATAAGCTGGCATATATTGTAATTTGATTATTACATGTATTTCTATTTTATTCCATCTGAAATTCATTTAGATGAGATTTTAGACATAAATTCAAGATTTTTCAAATCCCAAAATATAATAGACTATTTAATACAATTTACCTCATCAAAAGAATCATTACTCGCTATTTCTTCTTCTCCACTGCTATAGTTAGGAGTATTTCCAAAAGCTACTCTCTCCATGGCTGGAGATAACTTTTTCTTCGATGGCTCATCATCTACATTATCTGTCTGAATACTCCAATTCTCATATGGCGACAGAGGCTTTTCTGCTGGTGTGGAGATGAAAACAATGTCTGATGCGATAGCTGAAAAAAATAGAATTGAAGATAACATTAACTAATTAAATGTTGTTACTGGTTCATGCCTTTACACACTTTTCAGAAAATCATTAATCCAAGTCATCTGCAATGCGAGGCCAGACCATTCTGTGGCTTTCTTTTAATGATTAAATTATCAGTCTTGCACTAAAACAATTTGTGTTATATTATGTAGTGCTAAAGACATCTGGCTGCAAAATAATGATTCTGGGGTTGGTTTGGAAAAAAATTCAAAATGCTTTTGGTTTGCAAACATTCTTAAAAAAGATTATAGCAAACTTTATTGTAAAACGACCTATAAATTCCTAAACTACAGTGGTTTATCAACATGTCACTTAATTATTTAGTATATTTCATTTCATTTCATTATCAGGTGTGCAGTGCCGTTTAGCAGCAGGAAGTAGAATGGCACCGACACAAGCACGGTTACCTGTCACATACAACGGTGGTATTAAGGAATTCGATAATAAGTTCTATAAATTAAACATCCTCTATTTTATATATACCATATTTTATTATCTACATTCATCACAATATCGTCAGTGTAAAAGATAAGTAATATAGAGTGTAGTTAAGTAGGATATTAAACATCCCTAATATGAGTTTTGTTGTGTGAATAGGGAGAGTAAGTGGAAAAGTTGGTAAATAATCCTTTGCAAAAATTATTCAAATAGTAGACATAAAATATGCATCATACTTAGATCAGACTACGTCAATGAATACTGTTCAGGTGTGAAATCTAAATTTCACATTTCTGTATATTTTGTAAACAACGTGGAGAATACAGGATGTTTATCTTATTACACAAACAAAACTTGTACCGTAATAGAACTAAAACAGACTGCTCTAGTACCTTAGTACAGTGGCAGAGTGTGCTTATTTTCTTAAACACCTGATATCATTTTCCCCTAGGCTTATCTGTAAGAGACATGGTCAGTTTATGTATGTAGCTGACTGTTGGGTTTTCATATTGACATTCAGTTTATTCTGATGCTTCAGGTTTTTTGTGTTTTCATTAGCCCATTTGGTGCCGAACAGTAGACTGTTGAACCCCATTTCATGTCTTTTGTATTTGTCATTGTCCCTTTACCATTTTAGATTATCTGTGTTGTTCTGTGCTTTTGTTAGACAGTTTGTGCTTCACTGTCTATTATGAAATACAAAGTAGGCTATTACATAAACATGTTATATATATATAGCTATCTCTGCCTTTCTTAAATGGGAGGGGTTATATACCTGCTGTTTACTTGTCACCCGTCACATACATGTATTTGATTTTTTTAAATAACTGACTTTTTTTTTAACTTTATAAAAAATACATTGCCGACATTATTGAGGGGAATTGAAAATAAAACAAGATTTTATCTGTAATCTCCATTTCAGTCAACTATGCTATCAATAACTAAAATGTCAAATTTACATGTTCCAGTAGATTTGGTACTAAATGTTTATAGATACATGTTCCAGTAAACCTGGTACTATAAAGAGACAGTTAGTCCTGTGTTTGTAAACAAATTAGGTTGCTTTTAAGTTAAAAGTTTTAACAGCATTGTCATTCTCTTTGACACTAAGTGGTATTACCTTTATACTCATCTAATTCGGTTAATGAAAATAAAACAATTAGGTAGCTGACATCAGTGAATCACTGGTATTAACATGACTTTCAGAAAAAGATTTAGATTAAACAAAATGTTTTACAATTTCACAAAGTATTAGCTCGTTCAAATATTTCTTAATTTCTCTTCTTTCTACACAGCATTCATCTTCAAAAAGTTTTAAGTGAATATTTTAACAGTGTGTTGACATCAATCAAATTGTTTTCTGTTAATTTTGTTCAAAAGAAAACTGTACATGTTTGAGAATGGTGCTGATAGTTTCATTGATGATGTTAAATCTGTCGGTAAAGAATTAAAATCAGTGCTGGTTATTGTAAACAAACTTTCAACTTTTACAGCCCAATGTACTCCTATTGTTATGGTGGCTGAAAGCGGCCATTTAGATTATCGTGTTTCTAGATACATCGAGGCAGTTGCCAATTCGTCAGCTTAATGTCGACTGGTGACTTTCAAAAGACGATATCGGCACCTTTTTTGGCGACCTTTTCGTCTCTCTGGCTTAACGGCAACTCTCGTGTTGTTAACGTCGCCGATAAGCCAGTACGACAAAAAAGTCGCCAATCGTACATGTTACACAATACATTTTAATTTAACCTATCGTCACTGAAAATGTCCATTTATCACGATCAAAAGCCCAAACTCATCCAAAATATCCTCCATTCTGATTTTCTAACGAGAAGTAAAAATCTGAAAGCAGCCATTGTGCATGTAACTAACTTTCGACTTCTGAGACGAGAGTCGCTGTTAAGCCAGCACGACGATAAGGTTGTCGAAAAAAGTGCCGATATCGTAAAGTAATCGGCGCCTTTTTTGGTGACCATTTCTTCGTGCTGGCTTAACGGCCACTCGTGTTTTGAAAGTCACGCGTCGCTGTTAAGCCAGTACAACGAAAAGATAGCCGCTGTATCTAGAAACATGATTTAAGTGGACGCTTCCAGCCACCATATTTTGTTGTCTTTATTTAATAAATATACTCCTGTACAAGATTGTTGGCCTCAAAAACTGAGCTAGATAACCTTAGTTGGCTTACTTTAAAATATGGCTCTAGGACAATTCATCCCCGAACAATTCGTCCTTTGATGCTGGCATACCGTTATTTCAAATAATGGTACAGGCAATGTGCCAAGTGCACATTGTTTATACTAGTTGAAATATTGGACCCGCGTGACGTATTTCATTACAATGCACGTGCTGGATAGTGTCTGTATTTTAAGTTGTGTAATGGTCTCGTGCAAGACATTGCATAATACTGTATATAGATATAGCACTCGTGCTAAACGCACTCATGCAATATCAATATATTATTACTACACATAATGTCAAGTAAAATGGACAGGTGGACCCTCATGCATGTATGTGGTTTTTATATCCTGTTATATAATAATATAGTTTACACTGAAAACTCCGCATTTCCAAGGGAGGTTTGTTTGCTTTTCATTAACACTTCCATCTCTTTATATATACACAATCAAAAAAAAAAAAACCTATATATATTATTAAAAACAAGCCTTAGGTCTACTTTAAAGAACATTTAACATTTTCATCAGTCTGTAACAATAAGGTTCACACATAATCAAAATCAAATACTTTTTAGAGGTTATTTGAACTATTTTTTTACTCATTGATATATGGTTGACTATTAATTACACTTATTTTCTTGTTAGAAGTGATAATTCTCCTTTCAAAGATTAAAATAAACTAAATAATAAGTCAACAAATTCCACACATTTTTAAAATCATTCATGCATCATAAAATACCCAACCCTTTATTATGAAAATGTATTAATAACTTGGTATGAATTAATAGCCTACAAAGATTTATCTGCATCAAAAAGTTTGTTGTTAAAATATTTCACACCTGTAAAGTCGTAAAGGTTTATTCAATCAGTTTTCACAGTTTTCAAGCATATTATTCTTAAATTGAAAGTTACATGTAAGTCAGACTTTCAAATTATTGTAATGTAGAGAATTCAAAATAAAAGTTTCAGAACACCAGTGTGCTGAAAATATTTTGTTCTTCAATTGATTCAGATTTGTAAGCCTTACACTTACATGTTATTTCCATTATTATTATCGTGCCTGGGGCTGATTACTCTGATTTTGTTACAGAATGCATCTGGCAAATCTAATCTAATTTTCAAAGTTGTGCAACAATCTCTATAAAAAAAATCCTGATGACAAAAAATCAATAGAAATTAAAAATGATTGCAGCCATTCTAATTGTCATGGAAACCTTTATAAGATACAAAGCTGCATGGTATTTTTAGCCTTTAATCGAAATGACTGTGTAACATTGATTTTTTTACTCCATTCTTTAATCAAACCTTTTTTTACATTATCCATATTGTTTAATAATCTAATATAAACAAAAATAAAGACAAAAGCTGGACCCCCAAAGAGGGAAAGATCTATAGTTTTACTTATCACATATTAACTATAATGTTATCGGAAATGAAATGTTTAGGTGGTACTTAATTGAAAAAATTTTATACCACAAACTAACGTTACTTCAAACTAAATAATATGGTATTATACATGTATGAACAAAAGAGAAATCTCCCAAAAGTAGTGGGTTTAAATATGCAAATAAAACACGATAATGATCAACAAAACATTTTATAGGGGTTCTACGAAACTTGTTTCTTCGATTCGAAAAGGGGTGCTATATAAAATAAACCCATCAAATTTGATCTCCCTTGTTTCATATATAAACAGAGCTAGGTTAAATTGGATTATTGCAATATTTTTAATGCTATCAGTAAAATTTATATACAGTAAACCTCGCATAAGCTGGATTCGTATAAGCCGGATGTTTGCTCGACTCGGATAAAATCCTGCTTGTTTTTCTTATTAAATTTCTGCGCGTAAGTCGGATTTCCTTGTTGGATCTTTGCTCAACTTCGATCCAAATGTTTGGTCAATTTGATCTAATTCTGCCTTTTTTCCTTTGCTTAAGTCGGATCGGCAGTATGTTCAGAATTTGACTAAGCCCGTTTCGTACTGATGGTCAAAACACGGTTAGTTATTCCATGCACAGAGCCCCAAAATACTTTCCCTTATCATTTTGACTCAAATCAGCTTATTTGACGCGACGCAATCATAGAATTTTCCGGGAAAATTTGAAAATCTTGCTGTCTGCTGTACGAGACACTTTCCGGGAAAATTTAGGACATTTTTCAAAGATGGCGACAAAACTGAAGTTATCTACTAGCACACACAAACAAAAGCTTGAAATGTGCCTTTGAATCAATTATTATCTGGCTCTTGCAGTTTATTTTTAATCGGGCTAAGATTGAATTTCAGTCTTCGGCTAACTCGGATCTTCGCTTAACTCGGATAAAATTGGCCAGTCCACTTAGATCCGACTTATGC